CGACTTAAGTTACCTAGCGAAAAAATCTGTGCGCGTACCTACCACTATTGTAACAGGTTAATTCGTTAAAGAAATATGTTACACAAGTTAAAAACGCTAAAATTTTAATGGTATTACTTGTGCATTATTGGCCTTATAATGTAATTTGTTGGAATTATATCTTCTTTAAATATAATTAGACTTTTAACGACTTTTAAGTTACCTAGGAAAAAATCTGTGCACGTACCTACCAGTATTGTTACAGGTTAATGCGTGAAACAAATGTGTTACATATTATTCGTAGTATTAGTGGTATTATATTGGAATCAGCTTGGCATTAGTGGGGCATTATATGAGAAATTTTGGTATTTAATTTGTATTTTTGGCATTACTTTGGCATTAGTGTACAGACATTTGTCAGCGGTTTACTCCTTGTAGATAATCAAAAAGTTTTTTGATAATATTTGCTTTTTATGTCAGATCATTTCTATGAAAAATTACATTAGATTTTTATTAAAGACGCTGGGTAATTAAAACATTGACTATTAAAGCTTGTCCACTTTAAATAAGGGGTCACGAAATATCCTCTTTGGAGTGTTTGGGTTAAGGGGTGTATAATAAATTAATCGTTGTTTTATAATAAAAACCATAAAACATTTATTTGTGAGTAAAATAATGCAATGGTTGGATATCTCTCCTTTATAATTAGGTGACTAAAAATACACTAAAATAATTAGAAAAAAAATCTTGTACTTATTTAGTAATTTCGTCAATATTAATTAATTGACTTTCTAGTCTATTTTATTTTATGTACAAATATATTAAATTTTAAGCATTAAGTAATAAAACACTTTGTGCCCTCTTATATCGTAAGAGGTTACGAAATATACTCCTGGTTACACCATCATACATACCATAATCATTTCAATCATGCGAAAATTTGGTTTAAAAATAGATTTTTTTTAATATAACTTTCATTTAACGAAAAACGAAGGCCTAAATGAAAAAAAGAAACAATTTAAAAGTTTCGCTTATGTCTTGACAAGGTATCAAAGCAAACCCCATATTTTTTGCTTTTAAACTAATAAAGATATATCAATAAACAATTAGCGATGTAATGGTTTTTGCGCGCGCTGGCCGACTGCCGCCGCTGCGCCGAGATTTCCTTTACCCTTGTATATATGACGTCATGGTGTGGCAAATGTAGCATTTTAATTCGATTTGGGCTCCCTTATATAGGATAACAGAAACATTTTCAATGTTAATAAAAAGTTTCCGCACAGTTTTTTTTGTGTTTTTATAATCGGAAAAATGTCTAAAATTTAATACAAACATTGATATAAATGTAACAGATTTCGGCTATTCTAAAGTCAGAGCATTTTTTCTAATCAGTGCATATTCTAAAGTCTATTAAATTTCCTCAGAAAATGGATACAGTTTATTTCCGCAGGAAAATTTTTATTTTCCTCAATTCGTGAATGCTTCTAAAAAGCAAAAATATATTTATTTTTCATATAACTGATTTCAGCTATTCTAAAGTATAATGAATTTCCTTAAAAAATGAAGACAGCTTATTTCCGCAGGAAAATTTTTGTGTTTATATGTTCAGAAAAATATTAGAAATAAAACGCAAAATGTATTTTTTTATAGCAGATTTCAGTTTTCCGTGGTTCATAGTAGCTTTTTAAAGACAATTTTTTTTTCTAATAACTGATTTCAGCTAAACGAAAGTTGACCCGGCAGATCTACCCCGAATGGGGTAGCTGTGGCAACACCGCCACTATCACAATTCCTCTCGCGCGTCACGATCGTCCCGCGGCCGTCATTCAAGGCCGAGTGTCACGGTCAAGTGTCACGCATTTTTACTCCTAACGTGCATAAAAAAGTAAAAGTGTATTTGCGCAAAATGTAAAATAAATATTTCTTTTCCAGGTTGGGGTGATGATGAGAAAGGGAAGTTATATAGAGGATGACTTAAACCTCAAACTACAAACATTGATCATCGAGAGTGGTATAGGCAATGTATTGAGACTTCGATATATGGGTTTCTTGCAATCAGACAAACTAAATCTAGATGCTCTAGGCGCTAATAGTAGCTCTAGTGGAAAAGTAACGCAACTTACCATTAGCCATTTGCAAGGGGCATTTGCTATTTTATTCCTAGGTTATATAGCTGGAACAGTAGTGCTTATTATAGAGTTTATCATTTGTTGTACTAAGAAAAGAAAAAGATACAATGTGAAAAGAGATTAAATCAAATAAATCACTTGAGATAATATTATTTTTTTTAAAAAACTCATGCAACTCACAGCACAAATGTATTTCTATGTATTTTTGAATAAATATCGTTTCACAATTTTAAATCAAGGTAGTATTCTCTAATTTCCACAGATTGTTGACTTCATAATAAACGAAAAAAAAAAACAACCATAGGACATAGATAGTAAATGTACAGTTCATACCAAATAGACCTTTTAGTCAAGCGATTAAACTGGCCACATAAAAAATCTTATCATCGTTACATAGCTAATTTTTTGTATGAAGCATCCTTTTATGTAGCCATTATGAAATAGTAATGTCTGCCAGAGCGATCCCGGGGCTTTAAGCGGGGGCGGCCAATCGAAAGGGTGAAATTTTGGGACTAAAAATATTATAATGTACATGAGTTATAATTGCGAAAATAGTTTTATTTATTATTAAAAAACGTGGAAAATTGTTAGCAGACATTTTTCTCGTGGCTAAAATGCCGGCAGACAACAGGAAAGAGGCATGAAATTTTGACAAAAAATGTCATCGCATACATGCGTGCCGCTTGGTGGAATGTCATGTTTATTTATCTAAAATGTCGTATTCAAAAGGACAGACAAAACAATCGTTGCTAAATCAGCGGTAGACAGTTATCAAAAACCCGATATTACTCTACAGGGTGAGTCTTGAATAACTGCAAATATTTTCAGAGCTGGTAGATCTCGATAAAAGAAACATATTTTCTCTTTATCGTTTTCCAAACAAGTCCAAAATAACCGAGTTACTCAAGTATGAAAATTTAAAAAGAAATTGATTTATTTTTAAATAATTTTGCGAGCCACCTGTTTTTTTTCTGTATTTGCATCCATGCTTTTAGTGTCGTAACCATAGACGTATATAAGACGTAAGCATGGTAGATTAAGAAATAATTATTATACTGTGGGTAAATTTACGATGAACAAGCAGTTCTAAAAAAGTTTTCTAAAATATACAGGAAAATTTAAAAAATGGACGATATTCCAGATTTTTTTTCGCCAAAAAAACCTCATAGACGTGTTCCTGGGGTCGAAATATATCAGCCCTAAAAGTATTTGCACTTATTTAAGACGTACCCTGTATAAGCGTTTTCCGGAAACGCTCGCCGCGTTATCAATTGAAACATAATACATGAAGTCTACAAAAATTTTACGGTTCAGATATCGACTCAGAGGAAGACTCGTTTGCGAGGGCGAGAATCTGCAGTACGACGAGTCAGATACAAATAGTGAGACAGAATAGTAAATGTATGATACCTGTTATTGAAATCATAAAAAAATATATATTTATAATAATACTAGCGTGTACCCGCGACTTCGTTCGCATCGAATTAATCATTTGCAATGGTGATGATAAAGCAAAGCAAGAATTTCCGTTAACATACAAACTGGATAAAATGTTCTCACATTTATGTCAGCATGAGGAAAAACAATCGAGGAACCCCTCCTTATCGAACCTCTACACTCCACAGTCAATCCGTTTGCCAAAAATCAGCTTTAAACGTCAAGCAGTTTAAGCAGAATCCAGATTACTCAATGGTCATATTTTATGAAACACCTGTATAAATTTTTAAAAAATCTTAAAATATGTAAAACAACAAAATAAAATATACATGTTTAAGAGTTTTTCCGAAAAACTCACCGGTTTTTAAATAAAAATATTCTAATATTTGAGGGGTGGTTTCACCCCCTTAGAATTCGAGTTTCGAAAAATCCCTTATTATCGAACCTCTACACCCTATGGTCAATCTGTTTTCCAAAAATCAGCTTTTTACGTCAAGCGCTTTAAGCAGGATCGTGATTAATCAATGACCAGATTTTTCGAAACACCCTGTATACATTTTTAAAAAATCTTAAAATATGTAAAAAAACAAAATAAAATATACGTGTTTAAGCATTTTTTCGGAAACTTGACCGTTTTTTAAATAAAAAATATTGTAATATTTTAGGGGTGGTTTCACTCCCTTGGAAATGGAATTAATCCCTTCTTATCGAACCTCTACACCCTAAAATCAACCTGTATGCCAAAATTGAGCTTCTTACGTTGAGTGGTTTGAGCAGGATCGTGATTAATCAATATGTCAGTCACTTATGGATTTTATATATTAGTATAGATAACCGATACATGATTTACCTATACTGATATTTAGCCACGATCTTTTGGTCTGCCCTTTTGTATTTATTAGGCTTTTACATAAATAAATACATGGCATTCCGCAATCGGCATGCATGTATGCCACTACTTTTTTTTCAAAATTTTTTGCCTCTTTTGCATTGTCTGTCGGTATTTTAGCGACGAGAAAAAGTCTGCCAACAATTTTCCACGTTTCTAAATATTAAATATTAAATAAAAGCTATTTTCGCAATTATAACGCGTGTACCTTATAATATTTTGTGTCAAAATTTCACCCTTTCGATGGCCGCCCTCGCTTTAAGCCCTGGAATCGCGCTGGCAGACATGACTATTTCATAATAGCTACACAAAAGGATACATCACAAGAAAAATTAGCCATGTAACGATGCTAAGGTTTTTTATGTAGCCAGCTCTTAGACTAGAATATGCCCATAGTTGATAACAATGAATTTGAAAATCGCGCCCTCGATTATGTAACTAAAAGTTTAACTGATATGAAATATATTAACATATCTCAAATATTTAAATATATTCAAATTTAATTATACCTACAGGGTGTATTTTGTAGATATAATTGAATTGGCTAATTAAATTTGCCTACTTACCATCGACTTTTGGTTCCAATCGTGCATCATGTATAATCGAGGGATTGAACTGTGATCTGTACTGACATAAAATTCCATTGACGATAGTCAACCACACCCCAATCTATTAAATAAAACATTTTAATTCCAGTATGAAATAAATTACATTTTAAATAATATTTATAATTCATATAGAGACCGTGATCTGAAAAATGTTGTTTTTCAATATGTAAGCATAAAATAACTTTAAATTATAGTACCGTTTTAATAATAACAATAATCTAAACATTCTACACATGTACACTGTTGTTAGAGATATTTAGTATCTGCAGGCTTACCTCTTGTAGGTGGTAAAAAAGTTTAAATGTAGACTTCCAAGTTTTACCTGAACCGGCAGAAACTCAAAAAAATAAACAAAAGACGACAAGAAAGCTTGTAGTAGCGGTTGCATTGTTTATATAAAAATAATTCAAAAACGGTTCACGCAAATATAGACAAATAGTTCGGGAGGCTGCGGTTTTTTTTAGGAATTTCATCCCGGCTGAGTTTAATACTGCACGTTGGCTGCGGTATTTGTCAAAAAATAGATTTCTGAAGTTATTTCATCCCATGTGAAATTGTTTATCTGTGATATGTAATATTTATGTTATAAGTATAGTAATAAAAAAACGTCAATCCTACGGCAGAGGGTGGATAATACGTCAGTGGTGCGCCTGAACTTGAGAAAAAAATATGAAATTATTTCATCCCTTTTGAAACTTTTACACAGTATTTCGTACTTATATAGAAATATAATAATAACAATTAACTGCTTTTCTAGTGGGGGTAAAACGGTCAGCCAGAGCAAAAAATAAAATTCCTCGGAAAAAGCTGCCTCCCGGATTAAAACTATATATTTGAAACATAAACAAAATATCTTTCAAAAAAACTTATACTACAGGGTTGTTCACCACATACGACACGGAGTATTGTAGCTAAACGATTAGATTTTTACAAACTGTAAGTTTTGGGTTCGATGAAGGACTATTAAAGGTACAATTTAAAAATAATTTTACAAGATACAGAGTGTCCCAAATAAGTAAAAATATTGTAGTTGTATTTTTTTGAATGGAACACCCTCTATATTATTCTATTTTTAGATTCTACGGTTGAGAAAAATGTAAATTTTGTTAAGGTTTATCACACTTAAGCCTTACCATTTTTAAATATTTTCAATTTTGTGAAATTGCAGTAAAACATTTAAGGCTTCATTTCTCCAAGGGTATTAAAGGTTTTAATACTAAATATTTACTGAAGATTGTTCATTGATCAGATATTGTGTTGCAATAATAAACATTATACTACCTTATAGGTACAGAGTGTCCAAAAATTTATATTTAATAATTTTTAGCTTTAAACGGCAATAACTTGTTTAATTTAAATGGAATTCCCTGTATATTTTACGTGAATTAGATGCACAATTTAATTGTCTATCAGATTGTATTATACCATTTTTTACCTATCTCTTCAAGTTTTCGTAGAAAATGCTTTTTCTTATAATATAGAGATCCATTTGACATGGAATATAATATATATAATATGAGAGGGTTAATTGCAAAGTGTACAATCTCCAGTTTTATAAAAAAATGACAAAACGAAAAAAACATATAACTTTAGTGCACTACCATATTTTTTTTTTGCTGTTTTAATCAGTTAAGGTAAGTATTTAGTGTTAGTTTGTGAATTTGTAGAAAAAAAAAGTTATTTTAGTGGCGGTATTGAGAAAAAAAAGATGGAGATTGTACTTTATGGAACTCATTGATGGAGATTGTTCACTTTGGAAATAAGTCAACGTCTTTATTTTTTCTGTATGCTTTTATTTAAATTTTAATTGAAACATAAGTCGTGGTTCTAGTTTTTTTTAAATTATTAATAGAACATAAGAAATAAATAAAATGTTTTTATAAAAAAAAATTAAATATTCAGGCTGCATTCTTCTTCCATTGGTTGGCAAACTGAAGGTACTTCTTCAGCAGTTCTTTTTTCTTGACTTTCCGCTTCCAGCACAAACTTATAAAATTTCAATTTGGGATTATTTTTCCAGTCTTCCCCATAGTGAGAGCGCAGAAGGTTGTTTACATCTAACTTCTTGTTGGAGTTTACCGTGGTAGCCTTGGCTGTTATGGTTGGATTCATAGCAGGAATGGCTTTTCCTTTTTTGTTATTGACTTCCCCATTCCTAAGTCTGAGCGATAGGTACCTTCACCTCGGACTACAACAATCCCTTTTAAATTTTTGGTAATCACCATTTTTTTCATTTTTGAAAATGCGTGCCACTGGCCAGGTGTTTTTATGAACTTACTCATTTCATTCTTCCAATTTTTAATTTGAACATCATCGCCAACTTTTAAAACGGTTCCATATCGTGAAAATAGGTTCAGATATTCCTCTGGTTCTAAAATAATTTCCTTCTTACGAATCTCCTTTTCTATACGACCAAAAACCCTGTCAGGGGGAATAAATGAATGACCCCTGACAGGAAAAATAACCTCAATTTTATCTATTACATTTTGTTTGGAAAGCCAATTACAGCACATTGATATCAGGGTGGTATTCTTATTTTGCCCCCCGCACCCATCACACATAAGCCTAACAGTATGGATACCCGTTAAGTTAGAAGTGTCCAGAAGGTGATAGATGCAGGAAGCAATCTCGTTAGATCCTTTCTTAAATTCATTCTCGGTCCAACAGAAACAAGTAACTGTTGACGGATTCAGTTGGGTTTTTGAAGTGCCTCTCACCACTGTAAAGTTATAGATATACAACTGCCTAGAATAATAGGCTTGTTGATCAGGCACCTTAGGCAAAACCTGATTTTTTTGGCAGTCGAATGAAAAAAATCACAACGCCATCCTCTGCTTCTCTCAAGAGCTGGAAATACGCTTCAGCCCGCATTTTATGCACTTTTTTCTCGGCAAGCAAGTCCTTTTTAACATTCTCATCATTACAGCTCTTTATCTTCTCTGTCAGCTGTAAACATGTTGAACATACGTCAGTGCGCGGATTTCCGAAACCCAAGTTATAAGAGGTATTGAAAATATACCTAAAATAACTATGTTTAACTAATAGTTCTTTGTTTTCATTTTGGTACATGGTCCACATTTTACTAATATTTAAAGAAGAGTCTAAGTACATCCTTTCATTTTGCCCCCTGCAATAGTGACTTTCTATCACCTTAAACTTATTAATAAATTCCATAATCGATTTTCTCAGGGCTTCATATTTTTCCGACAGCCTATCACCACCCCGATTTTCCTTCGCTGGTAATAACGTTCGAAAATGATTTTTAGTCACTGTGTCGATCCTTTTTCGTGTTATTCCCAAAATATTCATAAAAGACTGTTTGCAAATTGGCACAAGTCTTTTTTGTTCACTAACGATATAAAAATGCACTTGGAACTTTTTTTCGCTATGTCTCGAATTTTTTGACCTTTTTCGCTTCACCGGAATGTTCTGGCAATATTTTAGAATGAAGTTATCTTGGTAAACCTTTTCCTTTACTTTATAAAATTTTTTGTGAAAACTGTGTATTTCAGCCATTGTTAGCAAACTGCACTGAAACGCAGAGGTTTTGTGGCCACAAGTTGGGTAAATCGGAAGTAAATGTGGACTATACCTAATTACAAATTTTCTCATGAAATGAACTCTATTACACCTAATATAAATGCTACTTCTTACCTAAGACATTTCTCTTGTTTTTTCTTCCATCCGGAAGGATTTCTTTTCCTCTTTCGGCCTTTGCCTTCACTAACAGGTGTTACATTATGATCCATTGTTAATTAAAACTATGCTGATTACTTTAAACACTTAATAACTACAAAAACATAAGAGCGTACAAACTAACAACCTTATTACTTTTCAGCAAACAACACAATAATGGCGTTTAGAAACCGTTAATAAACTGACGGTAAACAAATTTAGGCGCCAATCAGATATTGTACACTTTGAATGTTAACTTTGGATATTGCCTTAAAATACATTGGAGATTGTACGCTTTGCTTTCATTGATGACCAAGGAGTTTGTACAATTTGAAACTAACAAATGGAAGGAGATTGTACAGTTTAGAACTAATCTCAAATTTTAACCCTAATTTTATGCTGGAGAATGACCGTTTTGACGCAAAGTAATTTTATTTTTGAATCTAGCGCCACAAATTACACCAGAAACGACATCTATCTCATTTTTATCAAAACTTGGAGATTGTACACTTTGGAACTAGACCTCTCATATATACCCATGGAATATTGACATTTTATATTTTTTTAAAGCAACATAATATGTACAAAATGTACAGGTGGTAAAAATAATAATATTGCAAGCTTATTTGTTTACAAAAAGAAAACTTACTATTAAATCTTTGTAAAAGAGTATACCAATTATTACTAATTATTAATATACCAACATTATTTCCGCCCAAAAATTAGTTAATTACATATTCAGTTGTAAAACAATTGAATAAATTATTCTAAATAAATATGGATTTGGCTCAATAACGACTTATGAACATGATCATCTCTGTTGTTGTAAATAAGCATTTATTTTGTCAAAATATGAAATAAAATTTATAAGGTGCTACTTTTACCACACTGTCTAAAACACAAACAAAATTCAATTTTTTAGTATTTGGAGCAATTATTGTTAATCAATGTAAACGGTCAATTAATGTAGTTTGAATACTGCGATCATATTAATTGGTCCTCTTAAAAAGAAATAAGAGAACTATATCGACAATATTAGTATCTGCAATATTGTTTTTGAAATTTTGAAAATTTGTTACATCTTTAAAAATAATTTAAATTGACAATATTCCATGGGTATAGTGATAAATGAGATCTAAATTATAAGAAAATGCATTTCCACTTGAAGAAGAGATAGGTAAAAAATGGTATAGTACAATTTGTTAGACAATTAAATTGTGAGTCTGATTGTCGTAAAATATATAGGGTGTTCCATTTAAATTAAGACACTCTGTATAAGGTAGTAGTATTGTTATTATTGCAAAACAATATCTGATCAATAAATAAGTAAATATTTAGTAAATATTTAGTATTAAAAACGTCGATACTTTGGGATAAATGAAGCCTTAAAATGTTTACTGCAATTTCATAAACTTGAAAATATTTCAAAAACGGTAAGGTTTAAGTGTGATAAATCTTAATGAAATTTATCTTTATTTTAATGCTAGAATCTAAAAATAGAATAATATACAGGGTGTTCCATTTAAAAAAATACAATTATAATATTTTTTACTTATCTGGGACACTCTGTATCTTGTAAAATTATTTTTAAATTGTAGCTCTAATAGTCTTTCAACGAACCCAGAACTTACAATTTGTAAAAATCTAATCGTTTAGCCACAATACACCGTGTCGTATGTGGTTTGGTTAGGTTAGTTGTATAATATGCAACCCTGTATATTATACATTTTCCATTAAAAAAAGTGCAGTTATAAACTTTTCTTAACTTTCTGATCGTCTTTTGTCTATTTTATTATTTCAATTTTTAGCGGTTCAGGTAAAATCTTGTAAGTCCAACATATAAAATTTTATTACAACCTCCAAAAGGTATGGGAAATTACATCTACTTTAGCTATCAACGATGAAAGCCTAAAATCTTCTTGCTTATAATGTGTGTTGCTAATAATATTCGCAAATAAAAAATTATACAAAAAGGAATTAAAACAAAATATAATTAAACAGAAATACTATTAGGAAATTAAATACTTAAAGTTATTTTTTTTGAGGTTGTATTCTTGGGTGTATGGTCCGTAATAAAAATGTTTTTAAATCAAACTCATTGGATCATGTTTACGTTTCGATTTGTATCTCTTGTCCAAAGAATACAACTATCGAAAAAGAAAATATTTATTTTTTATGTATATGTTGGACCACTTAATCTGTATTGAAAAAGCAGTACTACATTATTTTTCATCTATAGATTGAAATTTAAAATACGATTTATTTTTAAGCGAGAATGTCAAAAACGGTCATATGATATGTCTTCAGAGTGTCATTTTGTATCGAATAAAGTAAAAAAATATCGAGATTACCTTTTAACCTTTCCCCAAAGACAAATGTGACCTAAATGAATTAGTAAAAATGCCGTATTTTAAACAGGGGCGTAGATAGGTGTATGCTATGGGGGTGGTACTATGAGTAAGTCGCAAAAAAAATCACCGTCGGAATTTTTTTGTCGAATTAAAACGACGGCGATTTTTTTGTCTTCAAAAAGATATAAAAACATAACACAAAAATTAAAATATAGATTTGTAAATAACATAAACAAAAATGAAACAACGACGTTTATTAGTTAATTTTCTATAAACTATAAATAAAAAACTCTAAACTATCAAAAAAAACTATAAAAACTATAAATAAAACTACAAAACAAAATCAAGTTTTCTAGTACGCTGTTTGGAAAACCTATCAATAACAGCATCAACATTTTTTTCAATATCTTTATGGATATTGATTAGAGTTAACCCCACTAATCTGTCCTGGCCAATAAGAACACTTTGTGTGCTTTTAATGAGGTCGAACATATTATAAACGATAAATCAACATAATTAAAAGCATACAAAGTGTTCTTATATGTCGGATATTAATTAAAAAAAATCCTTTCATAGTCAATGACTATTTCAATTCTCGTATCTCGTCAAGCGTCAGGGGGGGGGTACTGTCCCCCAGTATCCCCCCCTTATCTACGCCCTTGATTTTAAATAAGTTAAAAATGAAAATTGTGTATTTTATCTATGACACTGTATAGACCAAAATACTGTTTCTTTTAATTCAAAAGTAAAATACTTTTTCAGTTTCATTTAACTAAATAAGCCAAAAAAAAGGGCGAAACAGGAAGTTACTTCTTGATAAAATTGCTACACATCTGCCACCAAATTTGACCACCCCCATACAATGTCACAATCACAATGAAGACACAGAACACTTACGCGAAACAAAATATTTTTTACTCCCAACAGAACCATATTCTCCACTCTCCAATAAAAACACTTACACTCGTATTTTGTGCTAAAATTTTCTTTCGAAATCTTCGAGGAACTCCGTGCGTTAATCTTATATATCCTCAACAGCCACACCCCTTTCAGTCACAAGGAGATGAAGGCGAGACATTCTTGCATTTTGTTTGCGATACTAGCTGGTTTTTCAATTTTACCGCGTCGATTATCATAAATTAATAAAAAGTGGAAACCGATAAAAGAAATACTACAATTTACTTTAGTTACAGTTAGGTTAAATGCTAGAACATAATCAGTGAGTCTAATAAAAAATATGTGGTTTTGGTTCATTTATTTCTATTTTTCTTTAATTAACTCCAAACTGCGTCTACAGGATTAATCATATAAAATCGAGGGGTGTCTCACTATTGGAATTATCATTCAGTCTTAAGACCAACAGTCGACTATAATAAACTGCCAGACATGGCAGTCTTCTTCTGTGTGTTCTTCTTGAATTATAACGAGTTATAATTCATCATACAGTCTCAGGGCTTTAACAAAATCCAGTATCTGAGACGACTCCACAGAGGCCAGCTGTCGTCTAGGAGCACTAAGTGATAAGGTGTTGTGGTGTTTCCCTATTTTTCCCACAGAATCTGCATTCGCCGTTGTTTCTCAGCTTCAATCTACTGAGGTGTCCTGTTAAAAACCCGGTGACATTCAGGAGGAAATTAAAGCTATTCAACTATATTTTAACACAGAAAAATATCCTAGTGATATACTAGGCTACTAGTATTTGTACGAAAATAATCTACATTCAACATTTCCAAATTTAACCCTAATTATACCTATATTCCTAACACTACCGGTTACTGTAGGTACGGGTGCTGTCGCTCACCCGTACCGTACCGTTCTCAAGACTTAAATTATTAAAAACTATTTATTATCTTCGATGACGCAAGGAAGACTTTCTGCTTTAGCTTTGTTATCCATCGAACATGAGGTATGTGCGACATTGGATATTAAAGATATCGTCAAAAAAATTTCGGCCGAAAAGTTCGATTTTCATAACTTTTTATGTTGATTAGTTATAAGTGTTTCATTTTACTGGACATTTTTTTTTAATTTGGATTTTTTTTAGACTTGACTCTGCGGGATTATAACGTAATAATAATAATTAAGTACTTATTTACGGGTATTATTAATGATATCATACATGTCTCGGGGAATATAAACATAATATTATATATAGGTATGCCAAAAAAATATATGTAATTTTTATACATTTTGTTTAATATAAGGGGGCGGCAAATATTGAGTTGCACACGGGCGGCTAACTCCTTAGCGGCGGCCCTGACGGACGGAGTCGTCTAGGTTCTTCAGGTCCGCTTTAAGTTGGTTTCCACTTGGAAAGCAGAACGGGTATAAATAATAATAATAAGCAACGCTTTATTGTACAAAAAGCCAAAATAGCTTCATCGACAAAGCATTTACAAAACAAACAAAAGCACAAAAAAATATACAAATAATAAAAAATCATACAATACAAATGAATTCAAAAAAATGTACGTCATTAAATTAAAAAAAAATACAAATAATACATAACATGGACATTGCAGAACACAAAAAAAGGCGTATCAATAAAATTTTACAATAGGAAAATTGTAAATGGATATAATCATGTTATAAGTTATAAAATAATAAATATTAAATACTAGACCTTTAATCAGTGTGTGAGATGATCAAAATTTTAAAATTCAAAATTGTACATGATTAAACATCAACAAAAAAGTCGTTTACCGCATATAGGGCTCTCTCCAGTAAGTATAGTTTCAGAGCTTTGCGAAATGCGGGAAAAAATGAAAGTGACTTGATATTCAAAGGCAGACGATTGTACATTTTTTTGGCATTGTTCAGTATTGAGCTTTTAACTAGTTCTGAGCTCGGGGTTGGCAGATAAAGATCGTGTTCCGCATTCCTAAGTGGATAGTTGTGAGATGGCCTTTCGGGAATAGCAGATATGTGCTTGCGGATTAAGCAAACGGATTCAAAAATGAATAAGGAAGGAAGAGTCAGTATTTTGAAATTTTTAAAGAAATTCTGGCAGTGAGTTCTACTGTTCAGTCCTAATAAATATCGAACTGCTCTCTTTTGAAGTTTGAAAATACGATCAAATTTTGTCGCGCAGCGGTACCCCAGAATGGAAGGGCATATCTGAGGTGCGATTCAAAAAGTGCATAATAAACAGTTTTTTCATATAGTGGTGTTATTAAGTATACAAAAGGTTGTATAGTACTTTTACATGACAAAACTTCAGTTTTTGAAAGGTTGAGGCATAGGAGATTAGAATCGCACCAAGATTTTATGGTGCGTAAGTCACTGGATATAGTATTATCGAGAGTATTATATAGTGCCATAACATCTGGGCCGCTCCAAGTGAAACTAGTATCGTCCGATATTTACCGCTAATGTCTAGAATTGCAATGTCGTTGATAAACACCAGAAACAAAATAGGTCCAGGTACTGAACCCTGAGGGACAACCACATTCTATAGGCTTAGAAGAAGACATAGACGTATCAATCCTCACAAGCTGTCTTCTGTTGCCAAGATATGACTTAAGCTATTCGAGCGGCACTCCCCTGAATCCATAGTATTGCAATTTGTTAATTAAGATATTATGATTTACACAGTCAAAAGCCTTAGAAAAATCACAGAAAATTGTAGCTGTAGAGTGATGGTTATTCAGGCTAGAGTATACATATACATACATTATTAAAAAGATCGAACATAGCATCATTTGTGCAACTGTTACTTAGAAATCCAAATTGATGGGTACTAAGTACTATATATTTAAGGAGAAAAGATAGAAGCCTTTTTTAACCAGTCTTTCAATAATCTTAGCAGAGTTGGTTCTAGTCCAGTTAGTGGAGTGTTCGTTCCTTTTCTAGCTAGATCGTTTGCTTTTTTATTGCCTTCTACACCTCGATGAGCGGGCACCCAGAGTAGAGGAACTTTATTTTCTCTGCCTAATTTGTTTAGCTTCTCTAGGTCTCTAATTTGTTTAGCTTCTCTATACTATCATGGTATACACCCAGCGCAACATGTTAGGGGACCAGCTGCAACTATTTCCCCCAAGTCTTCTGTATATCCTGAGTGCCTATGTGGCTTTGCTGGTAAATATTTTAATATGTCTGTTCCAGAGCAGTTTACTGTCCAGGGTTATTCCGAGATATTTCACTTCCTGTGATGGCAGTATTCCTTTTTCCATGTTTTTCAGAATTCGCTTTCTGGTGAATGGCACTACCACGGGTTTGTTTGAGTTGATACTCAGCCCGACATGACAGTCCTCCACCATCTCTCAGTGATACCGAGTCCTCTTTGGATAATATACTCGGTAATATCACATAAAGTGTCTTCATGGTTCCCCCGAGCGATTATTACTATGTCATCTGTATACTATATGCAGCGTATTCCCGCTAGAGTTAATTTGTTTAGTAGGTGATCCACTGCCAAGCTCCACAGTAGGAGGGAGATTATTCCACCTTGTGGGGTTTCTTGCGTTGTTTTAGCAACTACAGTTTTGGTACCCATCTTAGCCGTGTTGAGAGCATTTTCCAAAACCAGCGAATTATCGCTCTGTTTTGTTCCTGTTATTTTTTTAGTGATTTAAGTTAAGCTGCTTCTTGTAATGTTCAATAGATGGCAAGTAGCTATTTTCCAAACCTTCTTTAAACGGACAGGATAAATCCCACCTACTCCTGCCGCCCTCGGCTTCTATGGGTTATTGAGACCCCTGTCTCAATAGCCCATTTAAGTTTTTGTTCTGTTATTACTAGCTTGACCATCTCCCAGTCTTCCCCGCAAGATTGTGGGGTACGGTCGGAGCTAGTTGCGTATCTAGATATGCTACCTGGAAAATGTGTATGAAGTAGAAGGTTAACTCCCTCTTCATTTCCCTTCGTATAGCGTCCGTCAGGTTTCTTAAGTGCCATGTTGGGAATGGCCACTCTCTTGGCTACAGCTTTGTGTAGTCTAGCTACATAAGTAGTAGAAGTAATCTTTTCGCAAAAAGATCTAAGTCCGACCGCTTTGCCCTTCTTATCTCCTAGTCAATTTCTCGGTGTAGAGCTGCCATTTGCCGCTGGATTTGGCTCTGTTGAACAGGCGTCGGACCACCGATCAAAGATAAGATTGACCAGCTTCTTGTTCCACCAGGGCTTGTTATTTTTTTGTATGCTCTTACTTGTGGGGCAACTAGATTCATATGCATCAAATTACTGTTTGGAGTATGGTTCCTCCTAATTTGAACTCGATGATTCTGATATATGTAATGTGGGTAGGTATATAAAAACTATCTTTGTGGGATGGGTCAGTTTTTGAATAAATAAATAGAGAAGGCAGAAGAAAGAGATCGGAAATAATTAATTAATCGTTATTGTGAATAATTAAGTATATACAGGGTGTTTCAAAACAAATGCGAAAAACTTCAGGGGGTGATTCCTTGTTCAAAATAAAGGGTAGTTTGCTTCATAAACGTTTGGTCAAAAGTCAACCATTAGGGAGATATCGCGGTACAAAAATGGCGGAAAAATAATGTTTTTATTTTTTATCTTGAAAACGAACAGAAATAGACTAATGAAATTTTATGAAGCATTACTGTTATGAAAACACACTTTCTGGTAATATTTTCACTTTTTTAAAATGAGTGGAAGGGGTTGAAATAAACTACCCCTATCGTTCTTGTTAACGAAATTTAAAGAAAAATCTTATCAAACACATGCGAAAAAATTAATTTGGATAGTTTAGTTTGTTTAGAAACTTTTTTATCTCTTGTGTTTTTTTGATAAAACTCACCGATTTGAAATTAAAAAATAAAATGTAAAGCATTACATGTCAGGACAAAAAACATTTTTTGATAAAGAATCTAGTGGGCTATTGTAATTTTTTTAGGAAAAAATCTAGTCGGCCGCTGTTCCTAATATTATTTATTAATATTATTTTATTTGACATTACTCTACCGCAATACGTTATTATCTAGATGATTATTATTATCGTTATTTTCTTTCTAAGATTCTTAATCTAAAAATGTTTTTTGTCCTGACATGTAAAGATTTACATTTTA